TCATAATAATAATAACAAGACTAATACTAACAATATCAATATATATATATATATATATATATATATATATATATATATATATATGGTTCTAGCCAAAGACTTTGTGGTTGAGCGACATAGATATGACTCTTTAACTCCGACATTTTGTGCTTCACTAGGTTGAGAAAGTATGTATGAACAGATCAGATACTTTTCTGAAGGACAATGGGGTTCTATCATCATATGGTGGATTGGCGAATTATTGGACCGAGCTGTGAACCAGCGTAGGCATATTGCCAACGAATTTATAGTCTGTCACCATTAACCACTCGGGCATCAACCCATGAAGAATCAAATTGAAATTGGTTGAGAAACTTCCTTTCATAGTACCCTACCCCCAGGGGAATTCGAATCCTTGAGAGAGAGATGTCATGAACCACTAGACAATTGGGGCTTGCTTGTCGAACCGCCCTCATACTATTGAATATAGTATGAACCGTTTTTTGAAATTGTCAATAGAATGGAATATTCTAATTAGATTTGACGGATCATTTCACTTTCAGAATTGTATAGACTGTTTTTGATTCGTCATTCATGAATCGTTCATTACCATTCAAAATCTATTATTTTTCTCTTTTTTTTTCTAGAAATTTCTTTTAAAAAAAAAAACGGAAGAGTGGGGTTGTTTGGGAATTAATTGGTTTGTCAGTAAAATAAGATAGATTCAATAAATAAGGGGTTCAATTCGATTTATTTCGCTTTCATTTATTGATTCGTTGTTAAGACGAAAGATATTTATCTCTAGCTACTTTCCTCATCCCAACCCAAGACCGAAACGATAAATCTAGTAAACGAAATTAAGAAGTTATTGAAAATTCTTTTTTCATTAAGAATTGAGTTTGAAATAGAGTCAACAACCACTACTGGAAATTATTGAATTTCCAACCACTTGAAAGTGATCTTAAATCAAGTTGAAAGTAAAAAGTTGTCGGAAATAGCAACAAGAATTTTTCCGGATACCAAAAGTGATCAGAATAAGGCTTTCAACTTGATTTAAGATAACTTTCAGGTGGTCGGAAATTTCAGAATTTCTAGTAGTGAACATTCATATATATATATATATATATATATATATATATATATATATATATATATATATAGTTCTCATTTTGTTGTAATCAATTTGAGTTTATTGGCACAGTACGTGATTTTTTGATTGCATTATTGATCACAATATTTACATATTAGTATAGTTAAAAGTTTGAACACTAAAATACAAGAACTCTATTTATATAACTCCGTGGTATAAAAAATTTAGGAATAAGGTTCAAATTGGCCACTGAACGTAACCTGAAAATGCAATTAGGCCACTGAACGAAAAAAAAAAAAAAGTGCAATTAGGCCATTAAACACTCAAAAAATGTACAATTAGACCACTGAACTCTCCAAACGTATACAATTTTATCGGATAGCAGGTTACCATCAATTTTAGCAGGTTACCTGCTTACGTGGCAGCTTAGTTGGCATTTTTAATAAATTTTAAATAATTTTTAATAATTAATTTTAATAATAAATTTTATAAAAAATTGGAAAAAATTAAATAAAAAATAAAATAAAATCGTTTTTATTTTTTAAAAATTTTTTTAATGCTAAGTTATTATTAAAATTTATTAAAAATGCCAACTCAGCTGCCACGTAAGCAGATAACCTGCTAAAATTGAGGGTAACCTGCTATCAGGTGAAATTGCACATTTTTAGAGTGTTTAGTGGTCTAATTGCACTTTTTTTTGGGTTCAATGGCCTAATTGCATTTTCAGGTTACGTTCAGTGGCCAATTTGAACCTTATTCCAAAAATTTAATATGTACAGATCCGGAACACCCCACGTGACACGTGAGTGTGGACAAATGGCGGGGGACAAAATATTAGATTTTTTGAATTAACTGCGGACCAAAAAAAAACTAATAAAACACACCCTAATTATTTATTTACCACGTGTAGTCTAGTATCTGATCTTATCATATATCAGCTACCTAACTCTAAGTTTTTTGTTTGTTTGTTTGGATATAAGGTAGGTTATAATTGACTGGGACATAACACTCCTTTCACACTTTTTTTTTTTTTAATTTAATTCTTTTTTACAAGTTGTAATTGGCCCAACTCTCATATTCACGCAATAAATCATGACAATAAGTCTTAATCCTTTCAATTTATGATGTAACTTTATCTCCATAAAATTCTTCAAAGAAAAATCAAATAACTCCTAACTTATACATTGAATAAAAAATAATAGTTATTGCCAAAATTCCATTAACCACTTCCGAATATTTATCAAACTTTGCTAACACACTCTTAGTCATATTTTCTATCATGCATAAAATGAGTTGAATGAATCCAAGTATGCAAAGAAATCTTAATCTCACACATCATTGAAAAAAAAAATGGTAGTTAGATATATCTCTCTTGAAAATATATGCATTTGATACTTTATAAAACACTTCTAATTTTTCATAAATGCTCTCAGCTAACTCCCAATCTTCTTCAAATGAATGGTGCACAAGTAAATCAAACTCTTGTTAATTGTTCCAAACGAAAAAAAAAAAAAAATCTTTATATTTTAATGCAACAAAAAACATCAAATATATCGAATATAATTTCATCGAGTCTTATAATGTTGCACTAACTATTTTAAGTATTCCACGCATGCATGTTGAAATGTGTTGCATTTTTGTTAAAATTTTGTTGTCATTGGTGTAGCGGCTAACCAAAAACAATACTTTCTCTAACTTTTTCTAATCCATGATCTTAATCCATCCTGCACAATTAAATTCAAGATATGAGCACAACAACGCATACGGGTAAATTTTTCACATAATAAAAGATGCTTACGATTGAATTTGGATAAAAGGTGGTCAATTAAAGCATCATTATTAATTGAACATTATCAACCGTTATTGATGACAACTTGCTCTCAAAATTCCAATCTAATATATATTTCAACGTTTCCTTTGAAAACGCCAAGAGTGTATGTGAAGACGGGGCATAAATAAAAGTAACATTTGAAAAAAAAAAAAAAAAAGTTAAACAAGTAATACTTTAAGAAATTGCACATCAACTAATTAATATATAAGAAATTTGCATCAACTAGTTTAAGGAATTGGCAAATTGCACAAGAAATAATTTAAGAAATTACATATCAACTAGTATAAGAAATTGCACATCAACTATTCTAAGAAATTGGCAAATTACATAAGAAATAATTTAACATGATACACGGGATCGCTCAATAATTCGACATGGCGACAAAAATTTTTTACAAAATTGTCTTCTTCTTTTTTTTTTTTTTTTTTTTTTTTTTTTTTTTTTTTTCATTAGCATGTTGTTGGCAATAAAAGTGTTGATATGTTATATAGGGGAGAGAGAGAGAGACAAAATTAAATAGGGATCATCTATTATCGTGATAAGCAACAAATGTGGTAATATTTGTGTAATACTTTTTTTGTGTAATACTTTTACAAATATTTGTGTAATAATAATAATTAAAAAAAAAAAACCATTTTGGTACCTAAGTTTACTTGATATTATTAGAAACCGTTTCTGATTAAGTTACAAATTGTACCAAATATTTTGAAAATAAATTTCAATAATACGTGGTACTATTAAAAACATAAATTTGTGAATTGTATTTTTTATTATTGAGTTAATACCCAATATAATCATCGACTATAGTGATTTTACTCAATTTAGTTGTAAATGACTTTTTGTACTTAATTTAGTTATTGACTTTGATGATTTTACACAATTTAGTCCTTTGTTAAAAATTATGTTAGTTGATTGTTAGAAATATGGTCTTAATGATAATTTATCATCCGTAATTATCCCATTTGGGATGATTCCTTCTTCTTCCCAGCTCCACGCAGAAATGAAGATCGTCATCCCCAATAACTTCAACCCTAAATAAATAAATAAATATTTTCCTACAGTTTTTTTTTTAAACAATTAGGATTGAAGTTGATTTGAGTACGAAGACTTACATTTTTGCGTGGACCTTAATAAGGAGAAGAATGAATCATTCCCCTAAATTACTTCTGTGGCTCCCCTTGAAGGAAGGTCACATGATCGAACTTAGAGGGTGAGACATTGACCCTTTAAACTGTAGTAATTAGAGAAAGTATAGAACAAATACTACCTTATAGTATAGTCAATAGTATTTAAAAAAAAAAAGAAATACGGTGTAATTAAGAAATCCAAAGTTGAATTCATTATTGTCATGCCAAATAATTCATCAAGTCATGGAATCACGTGGAATGAATTAATTTCAGTCAGTATCGACTATCGATTGGAAATTGTTACGTACTTTAGTGGAGTGGACCCACCGCTCTTAGAGCTGTGTGGTACGGTGGTACCCCCTTTCGAATATGGAAGTCGAGGGAAAATATGCCATTTCAGGAATTTACATAGGAAAATTGAAATTTTGAAAATAAAGTGCAATTAGCTAAAAAAAAAAAAAAAGTTATTTAAAGTTTTGATTTTATTTTTAGCTTAATAGCACCCATTAGCTAATTTAAATTATTATTTACAAAACACATATTTTAATTGATTAATCAAGTCAAACAGCTAATTAAAATTGATCAATTTGACTAATTTTTTGCTAGTTGGTTATTCACCAAACATGAAACACCCTAGCTATAATGTGTTTAACTCTTGTCCAAAATAGAAATAAACAAAACAAAGCAAGGCGACTTAAATATTTTCTCTTTTTTTTTTTTTTTTAATACAAGTGGAAGTAAAAAAGAAATATAAATCTGACCAAGTGACACATGATATGTTAGTTAAATATCATTGTGATTATTTGTGAACTCCATTGTAGGAAGATTTTTAATTTTTTTTTTTTAAATTGCAATCTAAATTGATAACAGTGAAAGTCTGAAACTTAATATTTATTATAATCGGGTCCACAATATCATCACTATATCGAGTGATCGCATACATCACTCTATTATAAGTAGGCAGGAATGTTTGCAGAAGCAGAAGCCACAAATAGGGATCGGAGCTAGCTAGATAGCTTGAATTGAGAACATATATTGAGGTGAAGAAGTTTAAATAAGTTCTTAATTAATATTAGTGTGCTAAGATGGAGGTCATCGCTGCTCACAACAATGGCGGCGTCGTTACCAACCACCAGAATGGCACCGCCAGCCACCACAACGGCACCGCCAGCCACCACAATGGCACCGCGAACCACCACAACGGGACTGCTCATGAGAACGCCGGCAACGACTTCGGGTGCATTAAACCGGGGTGGTTTTCTGAGTTTAGCCAAATGTGGCCCGGTAATCATTAATATTTTTGTTTTATCTAATTAGTAATTATTATATGGTTTTTAGATCATTTTTACAGTATCGCATGAAATTGTTTATGTTATATAGTGTAATTATCCATTTTTAAAATAATAATAAGTATACATACGCATAGTCATGATTGATGCATGGAACTTGATAAACCAAACATAAGTAGATATAGAATAAGTTTGGGGACCTAAGGTAGTTGGATTAGGTTATGGCAAAGAAATTAATGATGATAATAAATATAAAATAAGTAATGTTAAAATGGTATATACTATATATATATATATATATATATATATATATATATATATATATATATATATATATATATCAAATATGAATTTTTTATTTATATCACGTACCTACATTAATTGATGATGACTCTTGATTGATTCATATGATTTCTTTCTTGAGCTAGATTTATGTGTGGACCACTTGCTGTAACAATGCTCATCAGCTCATTGAATCATGGGTCCTTATATGCCACCCATTTGTGTGGTTTTATGTGAATGATATTATTAGTTGTCCGGCCTAGGTTGAGATAGTGACTCATATGGTCTCTTTCTTGAGCTGAACTTATGTTCAATTATTTATTAATTGCATGTAACAGAGTTTAATTATATGTATTTTTCACTTTATCAAAAATTTTATATGAAAGTTTAGAATATTATTCTTAGAGCAGACCGCTTCTACAACATTACAAAACATTTATTTTTGTTTATTCATTATATTATTTAAAATAAATCTGTATACTTACAATATGGTAGCTAGTTGGATGGTACTTGATTTGATCTGTCTCATTTTTTCTAGGCGAAGCATTCTCACTGAAGATAGAGAAGCTACTATTCAAAGGAAAGTCTGATTACCAAGATGTTATGCTCTTTGAGGTACACACAATATTTTAGTTATTTGTAAAAATGCTATTAATTTTTATTATTGTAAAAATGCAAATATGAAATGGTTTGAGAAATGAATTTAATTGCATCCATTATATTATATTGTTGGTGCATGAATATAATATATGAATGCAGTCAGCTACATATGGGAAGGTGCTGACATTGGATGGAGCAATCCAACACACAGAGAATGGAGGATTTCCCTACACTGAGATGATTGTCCATCTCCCACTTGGCTCCATACCTAACCCAAAGAAGGTTTCATTTTATTTATTTAATGACTATTTTTTTTTTTTTTTGCTTAGCTTAATTAGCTAGGGCTATTTCAGTCCCATGCATCATGATTTTTCTAATTAATAATAATATTTTTCAGGTTTTGATTGTTGGGGGAGGAATCGGTTTCACTTTAATGGAGGTGTCCCGTTACCCCACCATTGAAAAAATAGACATTGTTGAAATAGACAAAATGGTAGTGGATGTATCTAGACAATTTTTTCCCTACCTTGCTGCAGGATTCGAGGATCCTCGTGTAACGCTCCACATTGGAGATGGTATGTACTTATTATTACCATTATTATTTTAATTTGCTTTTCGAAATTTGATCTATATATAATTCAGTAGCTTTCAATATATTTTGACGATCGAGTATATTAATTAACAACTAATTTATTACATGTGATCTTTTAGGAGGTGCATTTGTGATGGGTGCCGAGAAGGGATATTATGATGCAATTATCGTAGATTCTTCTGATCCCATAGGTCCAGCAAAGGAGTTGTTTGAGAGGCCATTCTTTGAAGCAGTAGGCAAAGCTCTAAGAGCAGGAGGCGTTGTGTGCACCCAAGCAGAAAGCATATGGCTTCACATGCATCTCATTAAACAGATCATCGCAAGTTGTCGTCAGGTTTTCAAAGGCTCTGTGAACTATGCTTGGACCACCGTCCCAACTTATCCCAGGCATGTGCATCTATCTATCTGCACCCTGCACGTGCTTCCTATCCTATCCACTATTATTTTAAATGTTACTATACGTTCAATTCTTTCCACCAATAAAATATAACCATAACCATGCATATATATATATATATATTCCTTATAATGAATGTATTGTTGTTTGGTGAACCAACATTATATTATATTATATTATTGCAGTGGGGTGATTGGCTACATGTTGTGCTCTACTGAAGGGCCGCCAGTCGACTTCAAGAATCCGGTCAACCCTATCGACAAAGATACCACCCATGTCAAATCCAAACCACCCCTCAAGTTCTACAACTCCGAGGTTACTTCTTCTTTCAATTTTTTGGTCATATAATCTCTACGTTTTACATTACTCTCATCTGATTTTTTTTTTTTTTTTTTTTGGTTTTGAAGATTCATAAAGCGGCTTTCACTCTACCATCCTTTGCCCAAAAGTTGTTGGAGTAGGGATTAAAGTAATGAATTGAAGGTTTTCACAAGATTTAAGGAGACCGGGGAGCATTAATATAATATAATATAATGTTAGCTGCCTATAAATAAATAAATGTGGTATGATGTTGAGTTATGTTGTATTATTTAATTAGTAGTCATGTTATCTGTTTAAATAAACTGATGAGTGTAAGAGATATTTAATAAATTAAATTTTAATTTAATTTGGATTGGATATCAAAAGAATTATTCCTTTGATTCTCAGCATTTAATTTTCACACTCTCACCTCACCCACCTTGCTTGCTTTTTTCTACTTTATTGTTTTTATTTTAAGGGAAAATGGTCAAATAGGCCCTCAAACTTTAGCTTAAAAGTCAATTAGGCCCCTAAACTTTTTAAAGGTGCAATTACACCTATCAACAATTCATTTAGGTGCAATAAAGCCCAAAAACAAGTTAATGACCTGCTATCACAGGTCATTAGGGTCCAGACCACCTCCCGGCAAATTTTTAGGCAAAAAAAAGTGACCAGCAACTGACCCAGATTTGCCGAAAATTTCACCATTCACTTTTTTGTCGGAAATTTCGCCGGTCACTTTTTTTTTTTTTGCCAGAAAATTCGCCGGAAGGTGGCCTGAACCCTAATGACCTGTGATAGCAGGTCATTAATTTGTTTTTGGACTTCATTACACTTAAATGAATTGTTGAGGGGTGTAATTGCACCTTTAAAAAGTTTAGGGGCTTAATTGACTTTTAAGCTAAAGTTCGAGGGCCTATTTGACCCTTTTCCCTTATTTTAATACTCAACTACCTACCATGTAAGTACGTAACCAACACATTGAACTTTTCCAACTACTAACGCGTTATGAGTTCAATTTTTATTTTTATTTTTTATTTTTGAAATTATATATAGTGTTTTAAGAATGAAAGATTAAAAGCACATGACACCATATGAAACTAACACGATACAAACGTTGTTCATCACTGTATTTTACCATGTGAAGTAAAATCCATTATTTTTCTTCTTCCCCTTTCTTTTGGACTTAGATTCAGAGTATTTCAACCTGGCCTCCATTGAAATGAACAGAGGAATGGTGTATTTGATTGGTATTTAATCCCTGCAAACTTGAGAGAGATCATGATAGCTACCTGCAAGTAACCATTAACAAACAACACCCAAACAGAAATGAAAAATCAATCTCATCCAATCCGTTGACTATCCTTTTTCTACAATCACAGGACAGGAGAACAAACTTTTATGAGTCTTCATGTTCTCGTACAAATGTAAAATCCAACTAGGGAAGGAACTACAATCTAGACAATAGCTGACAGCCAAAACACATCTCAACTCCAGAGTTTTACTACAAGTCATCTGATTACTTAAATTTCACCAAGATAGATCTGTTTATCACTACTACACGAACCAATGATAGGTTCGGTGGGATGAAAGACACACTCATTCACAGATCCAGTGTGGCCAGGAAGTTTATACAAAATGCGCCTGGAAGTTGTGTCCCAAACGTAAACCATACGGTCAGAGCTGCCAGCAGTTACTTTGCTTCCATCTGGTGACCAACTACATTTAAGTAAGTTCTTTTCAAAATTGTGCTGGTGCCCTTCCAAAATCTTGACACACCGATTTTGTGGAGCATATGGGCGCATGTCCCATATGCGAAGACTGCAGTCCATGGAGTTGGTTAGAAGATAAGAGCCATCTGGACTCAATGACATACCCGTAATCGTGTCTTGATGGCCTTGAAGTGTCATTGTAACCTCAGACCTACGAAGATCCCACACCTTCACATCATTGTCGATGCCACCAGTATATATCTTATCAGATGCATCAGAGAAACTGACTGCAGTTATTTGATATTTGTCAGGAAATGTCTGTACTGCTCCTCTTTGACGCATATCCCAAAGTTTAGAACTGCCATCGTCGGAGCCACTAACAATAAGAGGAGGTCCCCTTCGAGCAGGACAACATGAATTAACAAAAGAGGAATGTTCAACCATCTTCTTTATCTGTTTTCCAGTTTCAACATCCCAAGCTCTCAGAGTCTTGTCAGGGCTTGCCGATATTATGGCTGACCCATCAGTCATCCACTGAACATCCAGAACAGCATTCTTGTGCCCTTTTAACACCATAAAGTTTTTGCATTCACCGTATACATTCCAAAGAAAAATTTCTTTATCATGTGAACCAGATGCAATTACAGTTCCTGCAGCATTGAACTTCATTGTGTATATGGCACTTTGATGTCCTGTTAGTAACATGATTGGAGATTCCAAGCCGGATGTTCGCTGTTTCCCATTTGGTCCAGGTGCTTTAGGACCACTGAAAGGAACAGACAGTTCCATTGGTCTTGGACCAATGACAGACAAAGCACTTTCTGTTTGCATTCTTCTTTTTTCTTCTATTCGATCTTCAGTATTTGAAAAGCAGTATCTGTCAGCTGGACTTGAAACAGCAAACAAGACAGAAAAGAAAATAAATCAATAGATTGCAACTATCCAGGTGTTGAGAATTGAGACCCTGTACAATGATCTCAATCTAATAACTTATTACTAACAATGATATCAGAGTAGTTGTTTATTATTTGCTCAAGTCTAACAATGATATCAGAGTAGTTGTTTATTATTTGCTCAAGTCCCCTGAGGCCTTAGCAGAACATAAAGGATATAGATTCAATACCATAAGCAATTTATAGCAATATTTTTGCACAATATATAATGCATATTGTGCAAATATGTTGTGCACAGCTCATAAAAAAACTATTGTTTAGAAATCGATACTATATGTTGCATGGTAAAAGATACGGAGTAATAAACATAATAGTTAAGCAGGGACAACTAAATTTGTACATATCTCGAAAAAGTTACACTAATACTAGAAAAATAAAGCATTTTGTGTCACATCTAAAAGCAATAAATAACGCACACTATGAGGAAAAGATTCCACCATTCTAAAACCTATATGCAAACTTTATCTGTCAGGAGAATTAGGGCTATCTCATTTTTCATAGAATTATTGCATTTCAAGGTCATCAAATATTTAACGAATCTGTTTCCATGGATCAAGCTTGTGTAAAGCAACCACTGTAGCACAACACTTCCAAATCTCAATGATTATTATTATAATTTTATGGTGGTAAATATATATTGCTCACCAAGGATAGCAATATGATTGGTACGTTGTATAACCATGATTGCGGAGAGTTCAGTTACAAACTACCCACATTAGCAATTTCCCAGGAAACAGATATCGTTCCCTGATCATGGGTCAAACACGTGGTAGTACTATTTCTTCAATGAAAATTTTCAAATTATCACTTAAAAGTGCAATTATCAAGGGAGCTATTATTAAACTTACTCTAAATGTAAAATCCACATAAACTTAATCACCAAGTGGAAGAAAAAAGAACAGATCAAATGAACTTCAAAATTCACACACACACATATATCATTTAAAATTAAACAGAACAAGGATGATGAAATAGCTGGAAATGGAAACATATGTAGTTTGTTGAAAAGAAATGAACCATGGAAACATTGCTGATTCTCTTGCTCTCCAGATATTTTTGTATAGCTTTGTTAGCTCTTTCTTTAATCTCCATTGACTTTTCTAGCTTTCCTTATATACTATGTAATTTTCCTATCCTAATCAGAGAAGCAAACCTTCCTAAAAAATTCAAGCTATGAAGGTTTGCCCTGAAGTACATAAAAACTTGATATCACGACTTCTATAGTAGGAATACAGTTACAGATTTAAAGTTTAAACAATCCATTTTCCACAATGTCTTCCAAGTTATAACCAAACAATCAGTACAACAAGATCTTAAAATCACAGCTAAATCGATCCGATTCTAACATCACCCAAGTGCCACAAAAATGAAACTTTCAAATTAACTGTTCAAATGCGAATGGCCCCTTCGTTTTATCTACGAAAACATAAGAATATGCAAAGATTGAGCTAAGTGCAGAGGAAAATGAAGAGAGATTTACCTTGATTACTAATAGGGCTTCGACCACCGTAAAACCCTAGGGTTCTTCTTCAAGAGACAGGTGGAGAAGCAAAGACGTCAGTGTCTGAGATCGACTATTGACTGGGAGGAGAAGTCGGAACCGGTTTCTGGAAATGGGCTTTGGGGAGTTGTTTTAGGCCTTTCAAGTTTGGGCTCCCCAACTACAAAGCCCATAGCTAATGACTTTAATTGTATTAGCTTTATGTTTGTTAAATGATCTGCGAATATGACAGCTCATAAGTTAACTAGAGAAGTCGTGTTCATTGCTAATTGTAGGGAGTGGTTTGGTTCGGTCCCTCGATCTATTTATGATGTAATCTTGTTGAGTGTTTCTAATTAAGTAATGCAAATTTGTTGTTTTTTTTTTGTTTAAAAAAAAAAAAAAAAAGAGTTTCATAATGGAGAGACGATTTTCCTATCGCTCACAAAAAATTGTTATTGGAAAAACATGAGGTAAATACAGACTCAATTCAACAAATGTTCGAATTTGATTGAGTTATTGTCAAAGTAAACTTGAGTTATTTGAATAAAAAAAATTGAACCAAATTTGAATATCTTTGGCTCGGGTAGCTCACAAGTCACAAGTATAATAAAATCCACTTATAAAAAGTCTACAGTGTCAATCAATATTGGTGCGTTTTGCACCCGATACAACCATACATGTATATGAGATTTTACCAAATACTATCAACTCTTATCCTCCTAGTACCTAGTATAACCTCAAAAGTATATATGATTGCACCTAGTGTTAAAGTCACCATTGTAGCAAATCAACTCATTACAAAAAAAATGTATAAAGGTCTAGTAAATAGCAATCCTCAGTAATCAGAAATCAAATCACTAATAGAGAAGCAAGTGAATATGAAAGGCGATAACTCTATTAACAAATATCATTTTTTTGCATATAGATAATGACCTCTCAGATTTTTGCCATTCCATTTTATCCTCAAATCAGAATGCACTTTACATAAACCAGTAAGGATTTTCAATATCTTCCCTGTACATAATTGCTGTTGCCATCATCATCATCACTTTATTTTCTCATCAGTAAACACAATGAACCTACCAAAAACAGACTTTCATGGTCAGGGAACTGGGCTTTTGAGTTGTTATAGACATGTAAAGAGTTATTATGCTTCCGAGAGGTCTACGCTCTCGTTGACAGAAGCCATTGCTCCGGGGGATGGATCTTTGATGTCTTCATTATCGGATGGTTTAGACTCGTGCTTTGCAGCAGCTTGCAACACCCTGCTCTGGACATCAGTTGAGGAAGGAGACGTGGGCAGTCCATTACCATTCTTTTCTAATTTCCCAACAGCCCATGAAATAGCCTGACCTCCGAGCCTAACTGGCACGAGCAATAGTCTGAACAAGATAGAACATGGTTAAAAGGTTTAGATCGATCACATGAAGGGGCAAAAGAGTACACAGAGTCAAAACAGTCGAAGAAATGAATGCTGGCAAATTGGCAATGACTACTATAGAGACATGGTTTCTTGCGAGTTGAGTTTGGCCACTGTCTTAGGTTGTTTATCCCTTCTAGTTCTGAGCAGACAGTACATACGGTTTCTGTGTCAACCAAACTTAACAGTAACTCACAAATATGTTCACGTTACCTAATATCCTGCTTCAAATCTTCTGAACCCTCATAGGAAGCAAGTCGCAGATATATAGTCTGTTTGACGGGCAACAAATCAGTCAGTCAGGAAAGGCAAGAATTTAAAGCATCAACTTCAAGGACACATGGAAACGCTTCTTGTATGCAGTAGAATAAATTGCAAATACCAAGCATAACATCAAACGAGGGGGGAAAAAAGACAGCAGATCATGTTCCACCTTGTGACATCATAGGAGAGGGTAAATAATGTTTTATCATGAACAAGACATTTAAAAATGATAATAATCACCAGAAAGAGGCCAATGAAACCAATCAGTTGTAGTGTCGTCTCCCACTCTGCAACAAAACAATATGCACTTGGTCAAAGGGCAATATTGGATGATCACTTAAATGTGAAAAACGTGCATTTTACTGACTAATGTCTGTGAATTTTAGCAAATTTAATAAATTGAGGTTTCTATATTTCATTCTTATCAGATATAGAATCTTGCAAATTTTGAATGGACCAGATAGCTTGATAACCAATCAAAAATAAAACTTTGATGGCAAAATTTTAGATAAGAATTCAGTAATTATTGGAGAATTGAACTGCCATTTCTCCATGCCAATTCAGTAGTAGGAATTCAATAGCTATCAGAAGGCACAAGGCACCTTGCACACAAACATTTGAATTTGAAATCAAGCAAGTACTCAAACAGATGCTTTTATATATTTTTTTTTTTTAAAAAAAAAAACAAAAAAAAAAATTGCATTAAAGGGCACCAAAGGGGTACGTACCACCAAGAGTACACAGAAAGAACAACAGTCTAATATGTATTTATCCCCCAATGATTTATTTTTATGTTCTATGTATGTATGTATGTATGTAGATGTGTGTGCGTGTATACAGGCATAATATTTACAGATTTTAATGCTATACCTTTGTATCTTACCACCATTTTTGGTTAGTATAACAACCAATTCTTTTTCTATATATATCACTTTGATAACTACTATGGATGAAAATTGAACTTACCAAGTACTGCATATACAGCTACTATAAAACCCTGCAAAAGACAATTATTTCAAGAAAGAGAAATGAAAGAGAAGAAGTTACACAACAACAAAAAGTATCACTGTTACCGCTCCATATCCAAGAAGTTTTAATGGTGTTGGCTTGATTTGCTCTAGGATTGCCTCAGCTTCCTGTTCAACAAAGGCAGAAAAAAAGAAATGCAAGACAGCTAGCCATGTTAGAGCAGTAGAATAGCTACAGAAGAAAACTTGTGAATATCTATACACTAATAGACGAATACAATCAGATCAAATATTTAACTGTGAAATCTGTGAGATAATGAAACCTTCTCCCCAAGAATATGCCGAGTAACAAAAATGTCATATTGTACATCATATCAGATTCAATTAGTCTTTTTGGTGGATATCATTCTCTGAACCTAGCAAACTCATCATCCAATTTTAGTAGCAACGAGCTAATGTCCTGTTTTCTTCTTCCAAAATGACTTTTCAGTAGAGTAGCAACTTCGGGTATTCTAAGATCTGTACTATGTAGCTCCTAGACATATGAACTGCAAGCACTCAGACCTAACAAATTGGAATCACTTCGAAGAAAATATGATCTGATGTAGTTTGACACGAAAAGGACATGGAGAGACACTTATGCCTTTTCATGTATGATTCCAAATACAGCATTATGACCATTTACAATTGAAGGCAACATGTATCCATATTCCTCTCAAACATAAGTCCAGACCATCCAGTTGCTATAAAGTCTTTCTTCTTTTATTTATTTTGCTGATAATGGAAATGAATACTACAGCAAATGGATTAACGTTAACCAAAAGGGATATTAGAAATACAACTGATCCCATGCATGGAATAGAAAGTGTTCAGTAATGTGTAAAATACCTCATTAAGTATTGTAAGAGTTGTCTCAGGTTTTAGCTCTTTGACACGAAGACCCTCTTTTATCCAAGAGCGGAAGCCACCTTGCACCAAGTATGGTCTCTGTTATGTCAAACTTCAAACATTAAACCTTCTTTGGAGTATTTCATTAAGAACCATAGAAAAAAAAAAAAAAAAAAAAGAGAGAGTTCTCTACTTTAAAATTAAAGCAGAAATTATCCTTTCCCTAGTTAAGCAAAAACAACCAAGCAATCAGGACTCTGCATCCTTTATCTATATTCAAATAGTCTTAATTGTTAAGAAACCTATCACATGGGAAAGTTCTATGTAAGTTCTATGTCTGTCCCACAAAATTGACAACAGCTCTTTTGTCAGCAGTGCCATAGATTCATAGTGTTGTCTGTCCCCAATCCCCATATCCTGGACTACCTAGTGACAAGATGCCTTATTTCCTTCTCATGACAAAAAGAGATGGTACAGATTTCGATTGCACTTGCCTTAAGTCCAAGTTTTCTTAATGACCTTGCAATGCCCTTGGAACGAGCACCATCATCATCCATAACTATAACCTTGGACCCAGCCTGTTAATAGAAGAACAATGGCTTAGAAACATCACAACCACATATTTCAAGAGCATGACAAGGGGTAATGCATGATCTTCCAAAAGCATATTGTGGAGATAAAAGGATCTTTTGTTAGTAACCCTATAACATACATATTGGACAACTATCTATCTTGAATGAACAAACTTTTTTGGGGAAATATCATTATTCCACTACCATTTCTTCATTGGTCATCCAAACATAATATCTTTTGGGAGATAAAAAGATGAAAGTGTATATTTTTATGCTTAAGAATTGTTAAGAGTCCCACATTGATAAAATAAGAGAGAATATATGGGTTTATAAGCCATGGGTTAGACTAGCTAATTGGTTGGATTCAATCTTTTATTGTGGTTTGGCCTATGTGCATTATAGCCCAATTGAGTGACTCTATCCCGAGAGAGGAGTGCAAATTAGAAGGAGCATGCCATACTTTCTATCCCAAGGGGAAGGGGGGAGTGCAAATTAGAAGGAGCATGCCATACTTTCCACACGAATACAACATAATGGGTAATTAAAAATAAATCCATTACTTTAACAATCTTCAAATCACGAATGATAGCAGCAAGCAGTGCATTTTCAAGATCTCTTCCACTCTTAAATAACTTTTTCATAGAGCCATCAACCTGGAAGTTTATATATATGTGTATTTAAAAATAAAAAAGGCACACAGTTAAAAAATCTAGGTATAAAACTAAATAGATAGAGAATTGACAACCCCTTAGACAGTAGTAACCTACCTCAGGTAGTGTAACATTGGCATATCGAAACCGAGCAGCTCGCCTAAGATCAGGGATGCCATCTCTTTCTCTGAAGTCCTTCAAAACAATAAAGAAGATAAAAAGACAGCATATACATTATAAGAATAGCAGACCATTTCCCTGCCTCAAAATATTGAATGTAAATTGTCATCTATAAATGCATGTAAGCTGTTTGGCCAATGTACTGGCAGAAAATGGATTATGAATTTACAAGAAAAAAATTTATTGGAAACTTGCAAGTAAGAAATACTGGGAAAAGAAAAGGCTTGAAAAATTTACAATCTCTTGCCTCAGGCCGGATATCAATAAGTACAGCATTCTCTTTTCCTACTAAAAGCTGCATTGTTGACTCTGGAGATAAATCCCCAGCATATCCACCATATGTTAATACCAAATATGTTCCCCTGCACAGATTTGATAATGAATATCATTATCCATAAAAACTTAAATAGGAAAACAAGACATTCCAGTATGCTGGAAAACAAAGAAAAACAAAAACACTTTGGGATCAGAGGAACGTGGATACCATAAAGTGGTGGATACTCCAAGGAAAAGCACAAAGGGAACAATGGGATCACTGGGGTCTAAGCCAAGAATTTTTTCCAAACCCTCCAGAGAAACATAAACCTGCCTTCATAATGTTAGTTTTCACTGAATATAAAACAGTTAAATATAAACTATGGGGTCATACTTGTTACAGTATATGTATGTATGTATTCTAAATCATGGATGATATATGCCAGAAATTTTTTGTTTAATAACCTTAAGGAAGCAATAGACTGATTTCAACTACTTATTGTTTATTGGTATTAGAGTACTAGGGAAAGTAGTTAGCAGTTCAAGAAACTCCAAAAAACTTATTGCTTTTTGAATAGTGAATACAGAAGTTTAAATGCACATAGGTGTAAACAAACAATAAATTTGTAAACCGTATGGCATCATGCAACAGGTGAAATGTTACTATACCTGCTGAAAAGCTGCACCAACTGGGCTCAAAAACTTTATTGCCTTTTCTTCTGACAAATTAAGCACATCATGTATCTCTGGGGGGAGCAATTCCTTCGCTGACCCATAAGCATATACAACTAATGTGGCCCCTTGAGATAAAGCACCCTCAGCAACAAGAATAGCTTGCCTCAATGTATCAATAGCAACAGTCCCCACTCTGCCTGTGGCATTCTTTAAATCACCAGAGAAGCCAGAAACTCTATCACTAGCTAATTCTCCAGTTTTGTCCACTGTTGATGTCATCTTACCAATAGCATCATCAAATGTTCCAGAAACACCTTTGGCAGCAGAATTTATAGAGGACGTAATTGCATATAGTGAATCGTTGAAGAAACTTTGTGCTTTCTCAAAAGAGCTATTGATTGACTTATTCACTTCATTAATAGCATCAACAGCACTTGTTTTCACACCAGATAAGGAACTTGCATCCATAGAGAATGAATCAGATGCAGAGGTATTCTGCATAGCATCCAGTTTTGTCGCGGATTCAGGAATGACAGGTTCTGTCAAAACATCAGCAGGTGCAAAGGCGGCGGAATTATCTTGGACGACATCCATTGTTATGGATTCAGGAATGGGAGGATCAGCATTTCCAACTACTAAGTTATTGGTAAAATCAGTGAGTTCCTCTTCTCCAATGGATCCACTAGAGCTCTCAACAAATTTCAGATGTCTTGTGGCAGTAGACGGATAATCATTGACCGCTCCCACTAAATAGTTGACACCATTTAATTCAGTTTGGTCATAGAAAACATTGATGGTATCAGTGGAAGCCAATCTACCACTTTTTTCTACAAAATTTGAGCATAGGGATGCATTGAGCTGTCCTCTGAAGGATGAACTCTGAAGCTGAACTCCATAGGACCAATCCACTAAACTGCACTTTACATCACAGGTCTTCCAATAGGAGGAGAAGGATCTAAGCCCATTATTGATAGTAATCTGCAGAAGCAGGACTCATATCACTAAAGGTAAACATATCCAATGAATGTGGATATCAAAAATTATATATTCCGCATTCACAAATTTTCTCTTAGAATAACTTTGTAAGTTTGAATTTTCACAACAAATTTGCGAAATTATTATAAACATAACGCTATAAAAATTTTAAAAAACATATAGTGAAAACAAGAGAGATAGAATTGCATGCTATAATGATGAAACCAAAGAGAGATGAGATGATATGTTGAATGACCTGGGAATGGGAGGAGCAGCAAGCGGTTGCTGAACACACAGGAAACATTTCAAAGCAATTCTTGAAATGGGCAAATAGAATAATTAACAATGCTACAGCTCTACAAAGAAACCCATCAACTTGGATGAAATAATGGGTGTTTTTACTGTAAAAAGGATATTATAAATGTCCATTTCTTAATATTATCAAGGATTATCCAGAGAAACGAAGGGGAAATTAAAATGAGAGGTTTGGGGCTTCAGGAGTGTGGTAGAGAGAATAGCGTGTCTTTGTCTCAACATCTAAACATCTCTTCGTGGCCACAGATTACACTTGCTGGCCCCATTTCATCTCTCTTAAAGATTTCATACAAAACCAGTTTTTCATTTTAAGTGCATACCTGGCAATTTTTTTAATTTACCATGGTAGAAAACCAGTTTTTTCATTTATAAAGAAAATGAGGTTAAAATTATAAAATCACAATATTATAATAGTCCATAAAAGTTTTTCAAGAAATAGTTAAAAAGAGAATAAAAATAAAAATAAAAGTTACAATTGTTACTATCATAGTCCATAAAAGTTTTTCAAGAAATAGTTAAAAAGGGAATAAAAATAAAAATTACAATTGTTACTATCAATATTTGTGTTAATAATATTCGATATAATTAAAAATATTTCTTGATTGTACATTTTATCGAAGTTACCATATATACATTCATTTTAATTTATAATACATTATAAATAAAATTTTACTACATGTACTCCTTAATCTTAATCTTAATAAGTTTTTTTTTTTTATGTGAATCTCAATACAATTATTTTAGTATGTGGAATACAAGTTGAAAGTACAATATGAGAGTACATGTAGCATTTTTCTTACAAATAAACTTATATCAAAATCAAAATATTATAAATATACTAAAATAAGCTTGTACCGAAGTGCCCCTACCAGGTGAATCCTAAGATGCCCAATTTGGTAGCACAGAAATTCACAAATTATGGTGTGCAACCGAATGCACCTTGCAAGGTGCATACGGTTGCAAAACGGCACCGTTTTGGTTAAAAAAAACGCGCGTCCCACTTAAAAAAGAAATCAAGTTTGATTCCCGGCAATAGCATTTTTATATATTCAGAAATTCATAACTATATATCCACAAATTTATAACTATATATCCACAGTGAATGAATGAAGTAAAAATCTACAATGAATGAACTAAATATCCACAATGATTGAACTAAATATCCACAATGAATGAACTAAATATCCATAAATTCATAACTATATATCCACAAATTCATAACTATATATCCACAGTGAATGAATGAAGTAAATATCTACAATGAATGAACTAAATATCCACAATGAATGAACTAAATATCCATAAATTCATAACTATATATCCACAAATTTATAGCTATATATCCAGAAATTCATAACTATATATCCACAATAATGCTATTGCCGAGAATCGAACCTGAATTTTTTTTTTAAAGTGGGACGCGCGTTTTTAGTCAAAACGACGTCATTTTGCATCGTATGCACCCTGCGCATGGTACATTCGGTTGCACAGCATAACTATTGACAGAAATTTTCCAAGTTAAAAGACAGTAAATAATGATTCAAACTTGGGATGTAGCAAAATCTTAACCCGGCCCAATACTCAATAGGTAGCCTATCAATACTGCGAGCAGGCAGATAATTGGGGCGGCAATTTAAAAGTCATAAATCCTTGAAAATCTGGAACCGCATTTTACATTGTTAATATTGCAGAGGAATAGAGAACAAATTTTAGATTTGGCTGCTGTAAGTATGGGAACAAAACTTCTAGTCTAGGAGAAGAGATGGCAAACACAGCATTAGCATTTGTAAGTGTACAGAGGACTGACTGATTGAAACCCCTAAAAACATTCCGCACCCACTGTTGCAGAACAACCTAAATTTGTTCCTGCTGAATTAGAAGAAGCATCAGCTTTTCATACTCCCAAAGAATCTGGATAGTGGCAGCGGCCCCTCCCCCTCTTCATTCTCACTGTGCTTCGATCTTGATCTGTGTTTCTTTTCTTTCTTCTTTCGTTTTGACTTTGATCTGCTTTTCCTTGATTCTCTATCTTCCTCGTCGCTACTCGAAGAAGATTCTGATGATGAACTTGAAGAACTGTAGTCGGATGATCTCCTAGATCTCTGGATTACGAATAACTACTGTCAGAAAGATTTGCCTTCTTCCAAAAGATTCAAATTATAAAAACAAACCAAAAGATTTATGCTTCGTATAAAGAAGAGACCAAATTAACAATTAATATACTCCATAACAATTTTAAAGAACAAGCAAAGATTTATCATGGGAAGAAACCTAAGATTATAAAGCCAATCAAACATATAATACTATACGAACATTTAATTCCACTAAAAAGGACCACTATTTATCAGTGCCAAGGAAACAGAGAGATTATTGTCATAATCATTCCCAACAACCAAAAAGAATAGCAAAGTCATCACTGGATAACCAAGTTGACAGGCATTATTCAGGAATTGAGTTGTGGCAGTTAAGAATAAATAAGGTGCTACCACAAAATATAGAGCCATAAGAAGTTCTATTTATTTTGCACATTTTTAGGTGGGAGGTTACCCCTCATTCCACAGCCAAGCTCTATTTCAAGTCACTGGCAACAGAGGACTACTAGTGGAAGTGGGAAAAAACCAAGCTCTATTTCAAGTCAAATATTCACAGCTTATTAATTGGCCCTCATAAGAAGGCAAGGACATCATAAGATTCTCAATTACAGGACCTTTACATAAGTACCCACAATTTGACTCTAAAAGCTCAAAAGCTTCCCAAAATTTGACGATTGGTGTCAATCTGATTACAGGGAAATGAAGCATCATAAACACATGACACACCGGGTTTAATTATTATCAAGCTTATTAATGTCACAAAAACAAAACCAGCAAGAAGATAAAAGAAAAAGAACTAGTGACCTATCTCTAACCCAAAGGTGCATATTCTAAAGTTTGATACATGAATTTTACAAGTATGCAGCATCAGCTATTTTTAGTGCAAAATTGGAATTTTTTATATGATTTTGAGAACATTGCTATGAATTGGCCTTGTTTGTCCCTTGTGCATTCAGTCTTATTCATATTACAAAGTAATATTTTCATATTATTGATATTTCAGCGGAAATACTGGTTAGTCATAAATTTTAGTAACCCAAGATTTTGTAACCTGCCCTATCACAGTGCACACCTGTACTCATATGTAACAGGAGGGCAGAGAAAAATTAATAACCAGAAAAAGGCAGGGTAAGGCAAAATATGAACCAATCCCAAGGGTACATACATCTGTAGTTTAGGAACTGATAGGCCCGAGGTTATTTATCTGAAACCGGGGTCCCTGGAAATGCCTACACCTTTAATAAAAGAAACTGGTTTCTAGATGTAGGCCAAACATCTTACTCTGTATTTACTTGGAATTAGAACCTCACTAAAGTCCTTACACTAAAAAATGTGAGAACAACAAATAAATAAAATGATATTCACCTTTCTCTTCTTGCTTCGATGTTTCTTTGAGTCTTTGTCTTTCTTATCTGCAACACATTTATTATCAAAAAGTATTTGATTATGACACTAGAGATTATAAAAAGGAACAATTACAGTAAGCAATATCTGAATAACTACCCTTTTTGTGACTATGTTTACTGCTTGAGTGGTTTCTTCCTTTAGCAAGCTTGATAGCCCTTTCAGCATCCAGCTGAGCCCTATATTCCCTCATCATCTTATCTTTATCAGCTTCTATCTCTCCCTTCTTGATTTCTTCTTCCTAGCAGTTCGCATCATAAGAATCCGGGAAAAAAATGCACTTATGTAGAAAACATTACCAAAACCAGGAATTAGGCACACGTACACCACATTCAGATAGATAATATCTGAGTAAACAATCAAAAGTGAATAAATCATTAGGTGCCCGCTTTACAGTATACCAAAGTCATTACTTTATAAATAAATGCAAAAATATATCTAATGGAATTATTTACATGCACTAAGCAAAGTTTACAACTTCAATAAGTAAAAATTATTTTTTATTTGATTCTTGCCACACAATTAACATAAAGAATAGCTGCTAATTAATTGTTGGTAAAATTATTTATAGTTCATTTATTGCACTTGACTAGATTCACTAGCACTACGAACATTTGCTCATAGCCTTAATATAAAACCTTGTCTCTGTAAGACAATATCTCTGTCAAAATATCTCCACACCAAATTAATCAAGTTAGACCTTAAATGTTTATAGCAAGGGAGAATTGATCAAAACAAACAATCTAGTGCTATGTTTATCTTTTCAAATAAAAATAAATTTATTTGTTGAAGGAATGACTGACCTCATATTAACATTTATTTGTAAAGATGACTGCAAAGGTAGTCTATTACAGAGAAAAGTGGCAAGATGAAATAGATTGCTTACAACAAGAAAATGTATCTAAGTTTAATCAAATACTTCCCAATAAGCCAAAAATTCTAACAAGATGAATAAAAAGGTATGCCAGGGAAACTATCATTATAGAGTTTATCAATATAACTAAAATCAACAAAAACAGGCAAGCATAACACTTTTTAAACTAAACATTCACAGCAAGACATAATTAAATTATGGAGTATAAAAAAGGGCATCACTATGGTGTTTGGCATGTTTATGGACAGCCTTTTGGTAGTTTTTATTGAAACAATCTACAAGGTGCTCTATGCACACTTTAAGTTATTAATTATCATTCCAGACCCTAGTGGTTCTCAGTAAACCAATGACCTGGGTATCAACTTTGAACCATGGTTTTTAATGCAATGACATTAATCAGATTGTTATTAAACATATTGTTGATAAGCTTTGGGTATGGGCTTGAAGGTCTATACTCTATTTAAAAAATAAAAAATAAAAAAAAATAAAAAAATAAAAAATAAAAATAAAAAAATAAAAAAACTACTAATGAAGTCTAGCTAACCAAATTAATACTAAGTATTTATTTTTGGAGTCACACTTGTGTGAGACGGGTCAAATCTAGAATAGTTGCTTATTACTTATGATAGAAATCATAATACTTATTACATAAAATTTAATACCAATTTGAAATAAATATTGTAATATTTATAAGTGAAATTGTGATACTATTAGGGTAAAATGATTGTTACTAATGATAAATATTGTAATACTTATAACTGAAATTGTGATACTTACAAAGTGTAATTTTAATGTAAATATTGTAATACTTATATGCAAAACCTTACTTATGAAAGAAATTGTAATATTTATTGTAGAAAATTTAATACCAATTTCAATTAAAAATAAATCGTTACTTATGACTTATGAGTTATGATAGATATTGTAATACTTATATGTGAAATTGTGATACTATTTAGGGTAAAATTGATTGTTACTAATAACAAATATTGTAATAATTATAACTGAAATTATGATACTTACACAACTAGTTGTCTGCAACTCAACCCGTCTCACGAACAAGGATCCGTGAGACGGTCTCACACAACTGACACAAGTTTTTGCCTTATTTTTTAAGTTTGTAACTGAAATACTAACAACATCAAGACAGGAGGTAAAGGAAGAGCACTAACTTCAACATTCCACTCTTGACACTAATGCTGCAATTGAAAGGAGAAAGAGGCAGCAAATGATGTTAAGAGTCCCACATTGAAAATATAAGAGAGAACATATGGGTTTATAAGGTCATGGGTTAGACTAGCTAATTGATTTGATTCAGTTTTTTAGTGTGGTTTGGCCCATTTGCATAATAGCCCAGTTGATTGACCTTGGCCCAATCTTATAGAATATAACACGTCACAAAGGGGCACATTATTAGTTCATATAAAAGAATTAACTTGTTTGATGGATTCAGGTTCTAAAGAACTTTTAAGATATTTATGTGCAAATAATTGAGAAAGCTTCACTCTCTTGCTGTGAGAAATGTCAAATTAATGTGCATTTTATTCGAAGCATCACATAACAACACTGAAAAGAAACAGAAGGGCATGTACTCTACTAGCCAAGAGCAACACAAATTTCAAAATGCATCCAGAACTTCAACACTCAGAAAACATAGTTGGTATTTAGTGAATTATTGCAGAAGCAACATTAGTTAGAATAACCAAACAAGCAGTTTGGATTATAATTTAGAAGATTAATGGTGGTGAGATTAGTGCGGTGCACTGCTCCCACCGGACCCTACCCCTCTAGTTGAAAATTCTAGCAAATAGTGCAGTTAGGGTGGTGGACTACCCCAACTGCTCCCCTAAAAGCAGCCTAAATTTCAATCATAACTAAAATTGGCAGTCATGACATAAAAACTGACCATTGTTAAGAACAGTCAACGCTCTGGAACAGCCAAATGAGAAAAACTCAAACCTCTTGTCATTTTTGCAAGAATATTGAATACTTACCCATGAACTTCATGCAGAATTCACTTTATTTAAGGAGTTAAAATTCCACATAATTACGAGTAAACTAACAAGTTACCTTTTGCTTCTTTTTGAATTCTTCCCAAGTAATGGTGTGAGAAGTTTTGAGACTCGCCAGACGAGCAGCATGCCACTCTGGTGTATGAAAAGAACCATCCACCTGCGACTGGCCTCATCAGACGGAGCACAGGAAAGAAGATCTCGAGTATGGCAGTTAAAATTTTCTAAACTTGCCTCATTTGCAAACGCATACGCATATAACATGATAGATATAATCTTTTAGTCCATACAGAAAGCTAACATCAATCAGATTTCTACTTTAAAACCCCAATAATTTTAAGGTCACTTCATGTCTTCAAATACTGAATTGCTATTTTTTTTTTTCAGGTAAGTACTAAAAATGGACATTGTTATGTGATTGTATAACAATTTCAGTAAGTAGTTTTGCCTGCCTGCAACAAGCGTCTCGACTCTCAAAGCTGACTTTTATCATCAAGAGATTTGCACTTCAGCACAATTTTATTTCAAAAAAATAGCCAAAATATAATGAATTAAAATTGTAAAACAAGCAAAATTCTTAAATTAAAAAACAAACAAACAAAATTGCAGAAAATAGTATGAAAGGGTACGAACCATGCCATCTTCGATCTCTTCAGGAGCGGCCGAGCTCGAGCCCAACCGCGCTCTCTGCATCGCTTTGTAAGCTTGATTTTTCCCCATTTTTTCTTCTTTGAAATTCTTTCTGTGAAAATTTTGGGGATTTTATAGGTTTGTGATTTGGGAGTGTTGATGAAAGGAATGGGGTTCTGGAGTTGTGGACTTGTGGTATTGGAGGCCTGGAGCTGACCCGGAAGGGGGAGTGGGATGTATTTCTGAAAATCCGGAAATTGGAGAGTATATGGTCAAATGCGTTATACATTTTCTGACCCCGATCTTTTATTATATTGCTAATTCTACCCCCTCACTTTTTATTGAACCACAATAATTTTGTTATTAATTCAATTATTCTTCAAAAATGAAACAATGAAAAAGTGTGTTGGATCATAATATGTGAATTTTAAAAATATATATATATATATATATATATATATATATATATATATATACAAAAGGGGACTGGCATACATGGTTCCCCGGTATATTTTTGTTCCCACATCAATGAGACATCAAAGAGGGGCGTAGCCTCAATGTCCCTCATTATCTAAATCAGTTTATTTTTTTGAAAAAAAGAAAATTATTTTTAATTGCTTTTGAAATAATAATCCTCTTTTGAGAAAACGTCAAACTCCAAAAGTTGCTTTGCAACGTTTGATATTTCAAACAAAATTATTATTTCAAATCACTAAATATGATCAAATTCATAATAATTTTGCAGATTCATCATTAATCATACAAAGCAGATATGACTATTACTATATGTACTTTTAAATTCTACCATCATACCTTTACTTTCTGACATAGCAGACAATAATAAATTATTTTCATCATGTGAGTTTGAAAAAAAAAATATTTACATCATGAATCTAAAAGTAGAAGTATGTATAATTTATGAGTAAAACTTGAGAGTCCATGTAATAATTTTGTGCATATATTTTCTGAAATGGTAATAATTTCACCAGGTACAAGCACCACTATAGGGGACAAATTGTATCTGGAATTGGGCCATCTGGGTTTTTGTTCATTTATTTGTATTTTGTAGGCATATGGGAAAGTCAGAATGCAACATATTAAGTTGGGCCTTTTACCCTTTCATGTGATCCATTTAACCTTGCTCTCATTTTCTTCAATCATTATTGTGTGGACCATGATCCAAACAAGTTGTATGAATCATATTTTGTACATTGTAAAATAATGTATATTTAATATAAAAATAATATACATTCAGTACAAAAATAATGTACATTATATTTAAGGTATGTACATTATTTTTGTACTGAATATACATTATATTGTATAATGTACATTTAGTACAAAAATAATATACATTTAGTATATTAAAAATGTATTTTTTGTTATGATCCACATAACACTGTGTGGACTACAGTCCACGGAATAATTTGCCTATTTTATCTAGTTTTTAGGCAAATTATATCGTGCATTCGTGCAATGTGCGCCCTCACCCAAAATGAAGTCTTTTGTACTTTTTTTTTTTTGAAATTTCGCTTTCCGTGTCTGCTGTTAACTTTAAAAAAAAAAAAAAATCTCATGTGTTTGAATGTACATAATTGTATAACATAATATACATACTCTGTTTTGAAAATATAATACACATAATCTAACATTATACATAATACACATAAACTCTTAACTCTTAAAAAAAAAAACATATAGTTTGAATGTACATAATTGTATTACATAATGTATATAATCGTATAATATAATGTACATAATTGTATAACAGAATACACATATAGTCTGTTGCGTCAATTCCCCACATAACTTAACAAAACGGTATTGTTTTTGAATACAGCGGGTAATACATTGTGCGACCCCTAGTGCACGATATCGATTGGACATTTTACTTTTGACTGATTGGACATTTTACTTTTGACTTCTCACTCATCTAAATTCGCAAAGGAAAATTAGTTTTTTAATGACAAGGGAAGGGGAACACTAAATTAATAATGTCTACACTGAGATTTAAACTTATCACCTCTCATTTAGGGAAGCAACCAGATACCATTGAACAACAAAGTCCTTGGTGTACTGTAATTAGTTAAATATTCAATCAAAAGATATTCTAATTTTTTTTAATACTATTGACTATATTACAAAGTAGTATCTCTATTTTATACCTTCTCTAATTTTTTTTTGAATGCTACTAGCTCTATTACAATGTAGTATCTGTTCATTACCTTCTCTAATTAGTGCAGCCCAAGAAGTCAATATTTTATACCTTCTCTAATTAGTGCAGCCCAAGTAGAGTTAATTCCAGCAATAGTCCTCCGACTATTGCGATTTTCTAAAATTAGTCCTTGTCTTTTAATTTGGACAAAATAGACCCTTGACTATCAGTTTTATTCCATTAATGGTCCTTCTGTTAAGTATCAGTTAGGTTGGCGTTAAATAGAGGGGTATTCAAGTCAATTCCTTTAGGGGGCGTTTGGTTCAGGTTATATTACATAACCATGGGAATATGACATTCCTGAGCTTAGATTCCTATGTTTGGTTCATACTATCTGAGGGAATATAACATTCCCAGGGAATGGAACATTCCCTCCACATAGGATTTTGAAGGGAATGTGATTCCCTTCCTTTTCTTAGGTAATGTGAGATAACCTTGGATATTTATAAATTTTGCTATTTTCATTCTAATTATTTAAAAATATATATTTTATGTTAGCTTATATATATATATATATATATATATATATATATATAAAGATAAAGATAACCCTAAACCAAACATAATTATATTATATACCTCAGTCTTAACCAAACACAGGAATTTAACATTCCCAGTAATCTAACATTCCCAGCAATCTAACATTCCCTAAAGTAATCTAACATTCCCTAAGGTAATCTAACATTCCGTGAACCAAACGGCCCCTTATTGCTTTCTATTCCTTCTGAGTTTATGTATCCAGAAGTCGTTATCTCCCTCACACCCTCTGTCTCGCCAAGCTCCTGCTTCTTTGAAAATGCCGTAGCACAAGACCTTCATGATCAAGAAGAAGCTGGCGAAGAAGCAGAGACAGAACAGGCCTATTCCTTACTGGATTCGCATGAGGACCGACAACACCATCAGGTACTATGCTAAGCGAAGGCACTGGCGTCGCACCAAGCTAGGGTTTTAAGGTGGAGATAGACATGGATGTGAGACCTTCTTAAGAAGAAAATTGGGTTTTTGTTTTATTTATCTGTAATAGGTTAGTGAAAACTGAGACAGTGGTGCTACTGATGTTTTCTGAAATACTAGTACTTAATATGTCTTTCAGATGATATTTTCATTTGAGTAATGGATCTACTTCGTTGGATGTACCCAGATTATTACACCCAAAACTCCATTGCTATCTTCTTGCTCCCGTACCCTTCTTCTTTCACTACTATGAGTTAATCCAAAATACATGAGTTTGGGCTAAGAAAATCAAGCAAATACTTAGTACAAACTCCACCACACAATTTCACAAACTAAGCCATTAGGTACAGAGAGACTATATATGCCTGAAGGGTGTGAACAAAAGTGTCGAAATTGGAGACGGAGCAGACATGGTGCCCTCGGGGAAGATTATCCGGGGTGGCGACCGCTAACATGGCATTATACTCTGGGAGTTTCATGAAGGGGTCTCTCGATGATGAGGTGAAGATAGAAAGAACCCAATTTCAACCATATTACACCGAACAGAAAATTCGGAGTTGCCACTTGCTCAAAACCGAATACCTGCAGATAACACACTATCCATATCCATGAAAGAATTATATATAAAATAAAAATAAAAATAAAAACAAAAACATAAAACACACTTCTGTGTAGAACTGAGCAAGGCGCACCATGTCTGCTTTTCCGTCTCCAATTTCCACTATTTTGTTTACACCCTCAAGGCATAGTCTCTCTGTACCTAATTAATGGGTTAGTTTGTGAAATTGTGTGGTGGAGTTTGTACTGAGTATTTTCTTGATTTATCTGTCAATTTTGGGAATGGTATTGCTTCTAATGTTCATGCTTCTAGTTGTTACTTCTTAAGACGAAAAATTTAATACATGAGTTAATCCAAAATACATGAGCTTTTACTAGTATACCTTGTTGACATTTCAATAATGGAAGAACTACCCTATATTTTGGGTTAAGAAACGAAAAATTTGTATAGTGGTGAAAGAACACGGTATGCGAGAAAGAAGATAGCAATGGAGTTTTGGATGTACCGATAGTCTGGATACATAAACTCACAAGGAAGAAGAAAGCAATTAAGGAAATGACTTGAATACCTCTCTACTTAACGCTAATCTAACGGATGCTTAATGGAAGGACCATTGCTGGAACAAATCTGATAGTCAAGGGTTTATTTTGTCCAAATTAAAAGACAAGGATCAATTTTGAAAAATCGCAATAGTCAGAGGACCATGGCTGGAATTAACTCATTGACTATATTACAAAGTAGTATCTCTATTTTATACCTTCTCTAATTAGTGCAGCCCAAGAAGTCAATATCCTACCACAGGAATGAGGATCGTTTATGTGACCTTCCTTCAAGGGAAATCACAGAGGTGTCATCTGAACACAAGGTGCTTAACAAAAGATAATTTTTTTTTTGAAGGAACAGATATTATAATTTAATACTCCATAATTAACTAATTTTAATTATTTCCCCTTCTGGTTGATGTAGCAATGGAGTAACTATAGCTATTAATTGGTAATCTGATGGCTTTGGTAATGAAGAATTAGTGAAGGCAGAGGGCACACCCACCCACCCGTGAATTACGCAGCTAGCGGCAAGAAAAACAAGAGAAGAGCGGTGGGAAAACGACAGCTTCTATTTCTAGGGGGACGTGCCGCCTCTGTAGTCTGTACGTACTTACTGTACAGCATGAGATGAGTATCCAATAAACTTTAGGGTCCATTCATTCACATTTCACTATTCACCATCTATCTCAGATCACTACACCACTTCAATTATTAGTTTATATATTACTCAATAAATATAATTAATTAGCGTCGGAGAAATTCTAACATTATATAACTCCAAATGTAGAATTGGCCACCACATAATTTCCGGATTAGGAAATATAATGCATTATTATTACAATTTCCTATGTCAACATTGGTGTCTTCCGCTCTAAAACACAGACTCACGTGTTTAAGGTTTTGTATGGTTGCGACAACATTGAGGAATAAAACAACAAAGATTCCTCTGCGCTGCATCACA